TGAACAAAAGTGGAAAACAAATCACTACAATCTAAAAAGGAAACTACCAAAGCTACATAGTTTGAGACATAAGGTCACCTGATAACATTACAGGAGCAGTCTCAGTAACTACCTTTTCATTTCTTTTTTTTTCCTCTTTATGTCTAAAATAATATTTTCAACTAAGGATTTAATAATTCTATGAGTCCAATATTCCATCAACCGTTGTTTGGATAATTTTATTCTTTGCACGTGTAAAAAAATAAAACTTAGTATTTCATATTAAAATGTAAGAAATTAGCAGCAAGTGATGTTTTTAATCTATTTTTTTATGTTTCAATGTGGACATGTTTGTTTTATTACTGATTTTAAAAAATTTAATATTATTTAAGGGCATTTACTTCCTCAACATTTCTTCATGTTGAGGAATGCATAAGGTGGAACTCTGAATCGCAGAAAGGTAGTACCTGACAGTTTATTGCAGGGCTATTCAACTGGCAGCCCGCGGGCCAAATCCGGTCCGTGAGTGACCAAAGATTGGCCCGCCAATTGGTTCATTCATCTCTTAAGCCCAAACCCCCAGTTTTTGACGTTAATTACTCTAAGTTCTTTTAGTTAAACATGGACATGTTTGGTATCTACAGAAACGTGAGACCTTGGCTACAAGCTGGTAAAAACCATTTCTATGCACACTCAAGACAGTTAAAACTACAAGCAATTGAAGATAGAACTATGAAAGTGAAAATAAAATAGGTTAAAAAATTGGGAAGTCAGAGATGTCAAAATAATATTTGTGTCAAATAGGAGGCATGATGTGTTCTTTTTGTTTTTGATACTGTTGCATTATGACTACTATTATGGGGTTCTGTATGTTATTTTCATGATTAAATGCAGCAAAATAAACTATTTCAAAGATAACAGATCTTTGTAATGCTTAGTTTATTTACATTGTAACTTTATTTGCTGGATGTTCGGCCCCTCAGCTGTTGACCGGCAGTAACTGTGGCCCCCGGAGCAATTTAGTTGAATAGCCTTGGTTTATGGTGTGCCACTGCAACACAACATAAAAGTAACACATTCTGCAAAACAAACTATAAATATATTAATCATAAACTTTTGTCAAGCGTGTTAATGCACAATGCTCAACTGATGTGTGGTGTGAGACTGAAGGACTATAAGGACTGGGGCTGATGAAAACATTGGAGACAACTGAGTTTAATGGGACAGGGAACAGGTGCAAATGGGCACGGCAGGACTGACAAGTTAAAAGATTAGGTTCATGATGCAAATGCCAGTGGACATTGTGCCAAATGCATTTTTATGATCCACTACCTTTTTTTAGGAGCATCTCTGACTCACAATCCATTAAATTTTTAATTTTCCTGCATGGATAAAGATAAATTTTAAACTATGGTAGTAAAGGCTCTCAATTGTCTGAAACTTGGTTCCTGTCATTCGATTTAAAGAGGGGTTCAAAAGATTTCCATCGTTCACTAATGTCACTGTTTGATACATGAGGACCCTGGTTACAAACACTCAGTACTCAGTGAAGCTTTAACAAAATATACATTGATTTTCTCACAATTTAGATTGGCCAACTGGTCTCCAGCAGTGACAGCCCAGTGAAACACCACCTTATGTAGCAACCACTGGAGTCACTTTAGAACGTGATCATCCTTGCAAGATACGAACAGCCATTCCTGAACTAAATCGGGACCACACAAAAAATGTGGTGGGTCACATACTGTATATCGTCACAGACTCTTATGCCACTGTACTCAGCAATTTCACTTTGGTTTGTTGTTTTTGTCTTTCATTCAGCTGCCAATGTTGGAACAAAAACTGATTTGTACTGATGAGTTGAGCAAAAAATTTTAGATTTGTTTTGGGTTTTATTTATTTATTTATTTTAGCTCTGCCTCAGAGAGTCAGTGCTCTGGAATTTGTTTGAAGTGTGATTATAGAAGCATTGAGAGGCAATAATCATTTTATAATCATWTCACCACTCTCTCAATCATGAGCTGCCTGAAGATCGCCATCCCTAGATTTCACTGATCCTCTTTGGTAAGTGTGAAAGCACTTAAGAGATATAAGCAATGTGTGGCAGAAATATAAAGTTTCTCAAAGTAATAACATTAAGCACTCAGACTGTTCAGGTCTATGACCTCAAAGGTATATCATATTGGCAAATTGATTTTCTATCTCCACACAAATTGCATTCAAGTGTTGTGGGACAGCGGTGAGTAAACTGTCCTGTCTCTCAATGGGTATCGTCGCTACAATAATGACCCCTAAATTGAAGGTACACAAAACAGTTTGCATGCTACTTGCCGCTTTAAAGTGTATCTTACCCCCCTGTGAAAAGATAACTCCGCCCCAAGACGAAATTTGAAAAATGCATCAAAGTGGGTGGGGGAAGGGGAGTTAGAGAGTGGAGGTGTGGCCAGGACAAGAGAACGTGACAGCTAGCATTAGCATAATTGATGCTACATGGAGAG